GGTATGAGAAATTAAACTGAACCACAAAAATGGTTATACGCATATTATCAAGACTTTTCAGTGGGTGAATAATAATGAAAATAATAAATTCACATTTAGCAATATTTTTTTTAGTAATTCCATTAGCATGTCTTGTAATAAAACTTATTTCCATTCAAAATGTAATTATTTGAAAACTGCATTTGAATTTTGCTTATATTAATCTGACAGTACAATTTATGCAGCAGATCAATGTCAGTGAATCCTTACTCTGAATCTTGTTCAGGGCTTCGGTGATGTCTGTTTGAACCCGTGAGGCGATAGGACAGATAACCAGGAAGTAGTCACAGTCCTCGCCAGAGTAAGCTTCAATTTGGCCCACGCTCCTCAGCTTCTCAACAATCTCCTGATGGGCCCCATTGGTTTTTCCTGCAACAGCAACATAGAACCTTTTTCCCAGACCTAAATATGAACAGAACATAAAGATCCAGTTAGAACAAACACTAAATAACAGTTTTGGACTTTAAATTCTTGCTAGGTTCTTTGAGTCATTTGTATGATTTGCACACGATTTCACCAACACAAGGTCAGTTTTCAGAGTTTAATTAGTTAGCAATGCTTACTTACAGTATATTGATAGGTTTAAAGTGGATTTGCATACACACAATTTAAAGGCATAACTCAGATTTTGTAGTGTATCCTTTAAAAATGTGCACCATCTCTAATGCTGAGAGAAAACCGGTGTAGGTGAACAAAGTACATGCATGTACCAACTTTTCCCTGTGGACACAGGGCGTTTACCTCCTTGCATAGTTATACGCTATTATATTTGGAAAGACATCAAAAAAGAAATTTAAAAAAACACTGAAGAAAAAAATTTATATTGCTTCTGCAGGACATTTTATGGCTTGTTTCAGCTTGTGCTGCATTTCTATCCAAAAGAAGATGAACTGAAACTAGCTGTTCACAGTTTTTTTCACTCCCTCATTCACACTTTTCTAAATCTAGTGCAAATTTTCTCCTGCATTAGTATTACAGATAAGCTTTTATTACGATAAGCTTTTGTTTTAATGATATTCGCCTTGTTTTATCAGTTTGAATTGATCCAATCAACTTTTTTAGCTGCTAAATATTCAGCTCAATTTGGAAAGTTTAATTAGTATTTGCCAGCAGGACGGTTTGTGTTGCCGCCGAGCTGTCTGAACCTGCTGCCTGCTGTGGCTGAAAACTAAGAGCTTGAACCCTGAAACAAAAAACGTCAGAAGTCTCTAAAACAGGAAGGAAGTTGCACAGTCATTTCATAACAACCTTGACGCATGTGTGCATTTTGTTTCACAAGTATGCTGATGATATTTGGATTTTAGGTCCATTGTTATTTGGCTCCCCTTAGGTGTGCATTTGGTGAACTAGAGAACCTTACCTGTGTCATTCGGCCCGTTCATGTCGCTGCAGGAGAGCAAAGGGAAGACAGAGTGTCAGCTCTATTTGATCAAATTAAAAACTGAAATATAGGTAGACAAATAAATGGCCAATACAAAATAAGGACAATATAAGCCGGTGCAAGAAGCATACATCAGCTGCTTTGTGAATACAAACACAGGATCTAAAGAAAATGTAGAACCTACCTGGAGGGTTTTTCTCTTGTCCTTCTGAGCATCCAAAAAACTCACACAGCCTGATGAGAATTAATTCCCACTATTAACAATACTAACCACATAGGCTTCTAGTGTTTTGTTTCTGACTCGCCCTTGCTGAAGGAGAGCTTTATGTTCGGCTGCTTAGTGAAGCAGTTTTACTTTCACTTTGAAACTGCATTGGTTCTTTAAAACCACAAAAGCCAGGGTGTAGATGGGGCGGGCAGACTGCAGCAGGGAGATAAGAAGCAGGAAATCAGCCTGCTGTTCTGTCAAATGAGGTTTTAAAAAATAAATCCCAAAAAACTACATATATAAACAGTCTAGAGTATGGCTATAAAATCATTAATTTTGCAGTTGTTGTTTTTTTTCACCATGAGGATTTTTTTTTTTTTACATATTCTTATTTTGTTTAACTATTTAAACAAGTATTTTAAACACCTGCAACAAAATAAAAGTGATTTAACATAAAAGGCATCTAAAGACAGGATGCTAAGGTGTTACATCCATGTGCTGCTCACTGCTGCTGCTGCCTTCAGGGTCTAATAAGTTTAACAGTTGTAAAAGAGAAACTCTTAATTGGTTTTATGAGCCTTTTATAAACTGAAAAAAACACATTGAGTTTTTTCTTTTCATGATTTCACTCATTTTATGTACATATAACAGAAAACTTTCTTTAAAAAACAATCTGCACATGAATGCAAAGTCAGAAATGAAAAAGGGAATATGAAGTGAAAATAGCAGAAGAAGAACCAGGCCAAAATCCTATCTAGAAAATAAAAAATGCAACTAAAATGTAAGATCTAAGGGCTGCATTTTCAAGTTTTCTATCTATTTTTTCCATGTCGTACACTTCAATTTAAAAAAACTGAGTGTTTTCAAAAAGCAAAGGAATCGAATAAAGCAGGGGAAAACACACAATAATAATAATGCAAATATCTAGGGGAAAAACCTACGGAAGAGGATTAGGGCCACTGAAAAAAAAAAATGTTAACTGATTTTTTTTTTTTTTTTTTTTCAGTATAGTATGGGAAAAAGTCAGAATTCTGACATTAAAGTCAGGATTCTGAGAAAAAAGTCAGAATTCTGAGAAAAAAGTCAGAATTCGGAATTTTTTCCCATGTTAAACTGAAATAAAATTTAAAAATCAGTTAACTTTTTTTTTTTTTCAGTGGCCCTAATCCTCTTCCGTAAAAACCTAAGGGCTTAATAATAAAAAATCTTTAAAAATTTTGTTCAAGCATTTTGCAGTATTGTTTTGTATTTTTTTCAGAAACCTCTTAAACAACCACAGCTCATTTTTGAGAACATGGATAAAAGGATGGTATTTAACAACTCTACAAATACATATGTAGTATTTTGTTGCAATAATAACACTGACCATGAATTCCTAATTTTTTATTTGGAGGAATAAGCTTACCTGCATATGTTGAAATGGTTAAAAAAATAAAAATCTAAACCCAAGGCTTTGTAATTAACTTATTAACTTAAATATACAGTAATTTCCATAATTTCTTTACTATGTACTCATAAAGAAATGTTTAGTTTTTTCTAGATTTGTTTTTCAGACATTGCAATTACATAAATCAAATAAAATATTTCCCTTATAAACTTCTTTGAGGTATATGTAATCATTTCTTTATTTCTTATTTTTATTTTGTTTTTCATTGTGTGCGATACAGGTACACTTGCACCTTAATCCTTATTTACCTTGATATACTGTATATACCTGGATATACTGTATATATATTATTGTTTATTCTTAATGCACCTTTTCCTCCTGTTTGCACCTTTTTTGACTTCTATGCCAATATGTGACAAGTGAATTTCTCCGCTGTGAGATCAATAAAGCTCATCTAATCTAATCTAATCTAATTACTTTCATTTTGGATTGTTGATTGTTGATTTGAAATATTCTTTTGTAATTTTAGATGTTGTTCTATTTACTTACTCTAAGTTATGTTGATAACATTTTTCTCATTGATCTCGGTTAATTTACAGCATATTTGACATATTGAAGCGGTTTGGTTTGTCTTGTATTTGCTTAAAAGTAAGTCAGCAAACGGTGAAAATGCTCCATATCACAGATTATCAGTCCACCAGTGACATTGGATCATAGCAAAGAACATAACAGAGAGCACATCATATAAAAAGAAAATACTTCCTTCGTTTTCTTTGACAAAAATTGCAAAATAGCACATTCAAACAAAAGGAAAATCACTTATTTCCATTACTCTTTTAGGATGCATCCTTCTGCTGCAGTGCAAGGGGCATGGTGGAGGCGCGCCCCAATGTGGGCGTGTCTTAATGTCTGCAATCAGAGGCTATTCAAGAGGTTAATTAGATGAAAAGCTGGTTGTTGACTTATAGTCATAGAAAAAATAATATACCATCCAGTTGTGTTCTTCAATTTCCTCTGTCTAAAGGCATGTGCGTTGAGGAATAACTTACACACAATAAAGAAAAAATTAAGTCTACAGTATAAATGAAACTATATTACGTTTTAAAAGTATAAATAAAGCTATATAACTTTTTTTTAACCCTTTATAGGGAACTCAATTAAATATTTTGAAAATCAACATTTCAAGCCAATAGTGTTAATGGAATCCAGGACAAGACCTTGTTACCTTTGTAACATTCAGAGAAATAGGGATATTATGATGGCAAAAATTTATGTAATTTTATTTTATTTTATTTTTTAAAAATACAAAACATAACAAAAGTGCTTCTATAAGAAATTCATGAAAAACACTCTGAGAGTGAAAGAAACACATTATTTTGGTACGACAAATTAATGCTACTGGCACTTACATTGTTATAGTTTATAAACCTAAATAATTAAATAATTGTTAACAAGGCTTATTAATTTTGAATTTTACTTTTTAACTTTTCAATGAGATTTTTATCTTTTTTTTCTTGACTTAACTTTTTTTTCAACTTAATGTACAGTATCATGCTAAAACATGATGTGCAGCCATGTAGAAGTATCTTTACTGAATGACTGGATATACTGTAGATATTCTGGTTCTAGACCTCACTGAGGGACATGGGGGGGGGGCTCCATTTGTAAGGGGTATGCAAGTGATCAAAAACAGTAACTTGTCCTATAAAGGGTTACATAATATAAAAGCAGTATTTTGTTAAACAAAAACTTTTTACCTTAAAAGGATATAATCTATTAGTCAATTACTGTGAGAATTAGAGTTCTCTAACACGGAAATATCTGCCTTTCAAAGAAAGAAAAGTCCTTCAAAAGAAAACTAAAAAAAAAAAAAACAATTCTGGAAAAAAAATAAAAAAAATCATCCGTATTCCATCGTGGAATGTCCTACAGTCCTTGAAGGCAGCAGCAGATGCGGGTCTTATTTGTTGTCTCCGGCAGGAGGAGGGCGTTCCGCTCAACAACACATGCATCCAGTGGCTGCTGCATCCCTGCGTGTCAGAGCATTGCTTCATCTCTAGATGCGTCCAAACGCTTTAGATTTGCTCCGGTTTTAAATCAGGCATCCGGCCTGTTCCTGGATGGATGTCCTCCCTCTGCCGGGGGAAAGGAGACAGAGGAGGCCGGGCTGGGAGACATGGAGGCTGCAGAGGGAGTGAGCTGTAGGACGGTAGGCTCTGTGGCTCTGAGAAACAATGAAATGCGGTCAATTTAGATCGGATCTGACAGTCAGCCTGCAGACGTTTTACCCTTTATAACATTTTGCTTTTTCTCTCTTTTATTCAGACAAACACAGATGGTGGCGGATTTTTTTTAATTTATTATTATTCTCAGCTGCACTAAAATATATCTGCTTTACTGTAAACAACCTGGGCTTCAATTTTTTATTAATTCTAACTTTTTCTCATTTGTATTTCATCGTTATTTCTGTGTTTTTGACCTCTTATGCACATCCATTCCATACAAACACAATCACATGTCAAATATGAATCAGATGCACAATGTAAACACAACAGGGACTGAAACTGAATCAGCAGCAGGATTTAGTACAACTTTTAAGAAGATTAAAATACATATAAATCCTTAACTCTAATCAATTTGATTATGAATCAAAACAATTCCTGAAATAAAAAGACTTCCTTTTTGATTTTTGTTATTTAAAAAAATTATTGAGCCTCACAGTGTATTATAGTCCCATATTGTGATCAATTAATTTTTAATTAATCACAATATGTTTTTAAATTGCGGGTTATTTTTATTTGTTTTTCCCTTATTAGTTTTTTTATTTATTTTAGGAAAATATTTGTTGAATAAATTAAATGTGAAAATCCTTTAATAAACTAATATGGTCATTATATTCTATTGTAACTTTAACTACCATTATCTAATATCTTCTCATATATAAGTGTTGATTAAATTATGGTTATCACTTGTGTTTATTTTTTCCAACATTAAAATGAAGGCACATCAGTAGGATAAAACAACTTTTTCCATTACTAGATGGATGCTACTATTTATTTATAATGGGTTAATTTAAAGCATTTTAAAAGGCTTATGCTTATTATTCAGATATTATTCAGATAATTATAGACTGCTACAAAATTCATAGGATTCAAAAACAGGAAATAGAGGCAACTTTGTTAAAGTACAGAATAAGCAAACAGTTTGATTGACATGACTTGCATCATTTTTATTTTTTCTTATTTTTTTGGTTTAAAATTTGCTACTAAATCAATGTGAAGAATATAATGCAGTTCCAGGTACTTAGAGATTCACTTCCATACAGAAAGCCCACATTCATATCTTCAGGTAACACAGAGTACATGTCAGACTAAATAATACTACTTCAGCGATAGTTTTAAGGTGTTGCTTTATAGTATGTCTCGTACCATGTCTTTCTTTTTTTTCTTTTTCTTCTTCTGTTTTACTTCTGTTCTATTTACATTGCAGTGTCAATACGGACTGTAAATCTCCCTGCATAATTATAATAAAGCAATTTATATGCATGAAACAAGTGGAGCAGTATGGCAGTACTGCTACACTTGTGATAGTAAAATCTGTTGGGCTCTTTTTTGGTATCAAGACAATTATTCTTATTGTCACATTGCCAGACAGGACACTGTAAAAAAAAAAATGTAATGCAGTAAATCATAAATAATTCAATTGAAGTCCTCCCTAAAAAAATACATTTTCTAAAATTCTTAAAAACAATAAAGTCCTTTTTTATTTCTCTTAGCAGTGCTGATTTCCTCTGTGGCGGAGTTGTTTCTCCTAGTATGGACCCTGCCCACATCAGTGGGGATATGTCACCTTTATATGTGCCCAGGAAAAGGAAGCCCTTCCAGTCCCAATCCAGAGGTGCAACATGTCCAGGTGAAGAGACAAAAAAACTAATTTGTTTTTTATTTTCATATTTGAAAGGACTGTCCTGTTAATTTAGGATTTCTTGTTTATATCTTCTTCACACATCAGCTGTTCCAAAGTTTCCTGACAGACTAAATACCTTGGAGTATCCAGAGGTGAGGAGTAGAGATCAACCAACAGGTTTATTTTTAATTTTTTTTAAGTTGATACTGATTATTGTGACATCATCCTAACTGATCCGCCATTTGTTCTGCCGGCGTTATCAAGCCGATTCTCCTAAACACTGCTTTCTCTTCCTCGGCTTAAAGGATAAATATAATACTAAAAAAATTACACAAGTTTCGATGTAAACAAAAAAAACATTTATTAATTAAGCAAACAAAAGAAGACATAAGCAAACAGATTAAGCAGGAATGAATGCATTTAATGTGATCTCAAGGTGTGGCTCCTAGAAGCACTAATCAGTATTGTCATATATCAGTCATAGCAGCACCATATCGGATAACAAGAAAAAAAAAACGTTTTGCATCCTGTACTGTAGCTCTTCTTTATAAGCTTGTTAATTCATGCAGACGTCCTCCTCACTTATCTGTGCTTGTTTTGTTGAAGAATGAAGAATCTCAAGATCAAAATGATGTCAGGATGAAGAGAGCTTACAGCAGAAAAAGGTAAGAGAAAACTTGGCCTTATGGGATTTATTGAATATAGCTAAATAGCAATAGTGGTTCTGCTTCTGAATCAGCACTGTTTCTAAAAAAAAATTCAGAGCTAAATGTTTTTGGAGTAACCTTTTTGCCCAATGTTGTTTTTTGCTTCGTCTTTATAGTTCTTCCTAAAAGCAAAATCTTTCATTTGTCATCTCGGATTTTCTAATTGGCTACTCAAGCCATTTTTCGTGATAAATCTTAGTGGAATTTCTGGGAATTTTAACGTGATATATTTAAGAATGAAACATTATGATATTGATATTTTTACCTGTAAAGGTTCACAGCAATACAATTAAGTTTATGTGTGTAATGCCAATTCACAACGCATGTCATCTTAAGGAACTTCACAGAGACAATACAGTCAGATCGGTTAAAAGTTTTCTATCTAGAAAAACCAGCTGATCGCATTGAGTCATTCACTCCTCCTGGATGACATGCAGTAACAGTAGACATTTGATTTAATGTGTTGTTAACTCTACAGCTATCTCTCACATTTAGCATGCATGCAGCAACAGTGGAGAGGAAAAAAATACTTTTAACAGGAACAGATTCCAGTGGAACCAGAATCAAAGTGAGCGGCCATCTGCTGGAGCTGACAAGGATATTGAAGCAGACATACAAAAAGAGCTGATAGGCACTTATCTAGAAATACTTTCTGTTAGAAAAGATAATAGTAAACAATCTCCACAAGGGGTTCTGAGAAAGAACCAGCTGAGCAGAAGTCTAGGAGAAAAAACAGGGCTAAACACAAAGAATCAGACCCAACTGTATTACCGTATGTATAACTGAAGATGTTGATGGCAGCAGCCGATATCTCCCTCCAGGATGGTGACACGGCCTGGTCCTGTTAGGCTGTGACATCATCACATTGACCAGGACCAGAAGCTGCTAGGACTCAAAAAAGCAGAGAGAGAACAGAAAGTTAGGGGCTCAAATAAAGATTACTGGAGAACTGGAGAAAAGAGATAGAAGTAAGCATAATAATATAAAGTTGTCCCTTTGTCTTCCAGCAGTCTAAGCCTATAGCAGCATTACTATAGAGATATTTAAGGATAACCTGAGCTACTCTAACTATAAGCTTTATCAAAAAGGAAAGTTTTAAGCCTAGCCTTAAAAGTAAACAGGGTGTCTGCCAGCGATTATCCTCTGTCGCATTTGGTGCCTATTTTCATTACATTCAATATAATCTGGTTAAGAAAATAAAAACCTGAATATGAAAGTAAGATTTAGATCTTTTTAAGTCTTACTTTTAAATTAGTACTAAAGCAGTTATGAAGTACTACAAACAGAACTCAACTTTTAGTCCAGTCTATTGGCTGAGAAATGAATTTGACTTAGACCACTTTATGGCATACATACATACATGTTAGTCTGACTTTTAATCATGTAAAATTGGACAATTTTCGGGATGAATTTAACTAGTAGTTAAAAATAATGTTGTTGTTTTTTTTTTTGTTTTTTTTATTACATTTTTTTCCTACTTGCTTTAATTCTGTTTTATTTTCCTATTTTTGAATCATGTAAAGCACTTTGCATTGTCTTTGTACTGAATTGTGCTATACAAATAAATTTGCCTTGCCTTTTAAGAAAAAGATTTTTAAAAAACACACAAAAAAACAGGACTTGACCCTTCAAGCTTATATCTACTGTATACAGCAGGTTTTATTGCAGCTAAATCCTGTTTTCAGTCTGTTAACCTCATTTAATATCTTTCACAGATATGTATTTGACAGATTTGTAGCATATTTGTTCTGTTTGTATACCAGGTATGAAGACCTCCAGAATGTTTCTTTGGGACCTGTGGATTATCCGACCTCCAGCTGCTCTGTGATGTCATCAGGCAGCCTGGCAAATGGCTCAGAGGAAAGGTCTGCAAACCTTCCATCAAGACAGTTTGGGAAAGATGTTTGGCCTGAAGGGCCAGAGGTTAGCCAGGAGCAGCCCAACCCTGAGGATCAGCCCTGGAAGTCCACCGGGGAGCAAGGTCCTGAAGCCTGGACTCCAGGTAGAGAAGAACCCAATGACCTGGGCTGGAGCTCCGGCAGAGACGCAGAAGGACACTCAAGTCAGGAGGAGACCTGGATGCCTGACAGAGATGGATCCCATCCTGAACAAGAGCAAGCTTGGGTCATAACGCAGGAGCAAGGTCCTCGGTCAGGATGGGGAGAGGACAGAGATCAAAAGCAGGATCAGGCCTGGAACGCAGGACGGGATCCAGGAGGAAACAAAGCCTCCATAGCAACAGTGCAAGGGTGGGGAAACGGTCAAGGTCAGGATGAGCAAGCCTGGAGCGATTCAAGCAGGGAGCGAGGAAACGTTTGGAGACCCGGTAATCACTCGCATGTTTCCCCATTTGTAAGGAAATCTTACATTGAAAAATAAAGATAGCTTAATTTTGTTTTGTTTTTTTTCTAGTGTAGAGGAGCATATTTTCTTTTTTCTTTTTTCTTTTTTTTTTTTGTATTTTTATTTTCCTGAATATAAAGAAGGTCCAGAGAACAGAGGTGGAGCCCAGTAATGCTGTCAATAACTTACTTCTACCACCAGAGGGCAGTATGTCCTCAAGGTTCCTATATTTTTCTACAATCTTCAGTCACAGATAATTCTCTAACACATGAATAAATATCAATTAGCCAGAAAAGCATAACAGTTCTTCCTTGTTATAGCTGTATATGAATTAAGCTAAAAAAAAATACATTTAATTATAAAAATGATGTGTTTATGCTGAAAATTCTCTCGTTTATCTCACTGTTTAGATGCAGTCAGCTTTGGTAAAAGTTCAGCAGCCCAAATAAATGAGGATAAGAAACCTGTCTTGCTTCCAATCAAGAAAGAACCTCCGACATATCCTCCAGGTGAGGAAAAAAAAATCTTTAACCATTTAATTAAACATAATGTACTTTTATTTAGTCTCATTGATTAGTCATTAAAATTCAGTTCACTTCTAACCCTAACCTGTCAAGATGTCTGAGAAATGCTCTTGGAACTAAAATATAGGTGAATTAAGATTTTTTTTTTGTATAAAATATTTCAAGTAGAAAAAACAAATTACATTTGGTGGACGGATAACAGATTGTTTAGATCATTCTGAACAAATTTTTAAAAGAAACTAATTTTCTTCTCCAAATTCTCCAGGGAGCCAAGAGGAGTGCTGGCAGCTCCAGATTGTGGCCAAAGGAAGGGTCACGTGTCCCAAATGTAAAAGTGTGAGCAGGAAAACTGTTGAAGGACTGAAGAAACATATGGAGAACTGCAGACTGGTGAGCCCAATTCAGTTTATTTATATGGCACCAGAGTTAGATTTGGACATTTGGGCTTTTAAGCCTAAGGATAAAAATCTGGTAAACTATTCCATCGTATTTTGGGCTGTATTTGTTCAAGTTATTTTCATGCTGGAGGTGAACTCCACCCAGTCTCTGTTCTTTTGCTCCCTCTAACATGTTTTCTTCTAGGATATTTCCATTGTTAATCCATCCATTTTCCCATCAAATCTGAACAGCTCCCATTTTTTCAGTTGAAGAGAAGCTTCCCCACAGCATAATGCCACCAGCACCATGTTTCTCTTGTAGAGATGGTATATTCACAGTGATGTAAAGTGTTCCTCCGTGTTTTACCTGAAAGCAGCAAGTTAAACGTAATTGCTATAAGTTTAACTCCACCTGGTCTTTAAGTGGTGCTCTTACTCTCATCTGCTCTCATTCTATTTTATTTCCAAGCCAGTTGCCAGGTCTGCTAATGCTAATATTAAACAAACCAAACACAAAACTTGCCAGTTTAGAGGAAAAGCTGACATTCTGACATTATGGGCTTCTGCACTCAAAAGCTTCACCAATATTTATGCTCATTTTGTGTCTTTGATGGTTTTTTTGGCTTGAATTCTAGTTAGCTGTTGCTAGCTACTAGGATCTGGCAACCCCCGAGCTCCGTCTTGTTTGTGCAGAGTGCTTTTGTGTTAATTTTAACCAGACGTAAATATTTATACATCTTGAATCCGTCAACATTTATAAAATAGTTATTTATATACTATATTTTATGTAATAATTAATAAGCACCACTCTAGACATTCTGTGGATATAGTTAAAAGTAAAGTGGAGGATTTTTGCAAATTTTTGAAAAGACTCCCCACTTAAAAACAAAAAAAGCATATTCACAACGCTGTACCCCCTCCAGAGAGGGAGCACCTATTAAACGAGTGCGAGAGCATGCATGAGCCCATTTCTCCTCGTGCACCCTCTGTTTAAAAGTTGCTGTTTGCATCGCTCATACAAGCTTACTTTCCAAAAGAAGATTAGCAATTTTTCCACTATGTCAGGCACCATCGGTAAGTGAAAATGGGTACAAGCACACAGGACGGCCTTACATAAACATATTACCAGAATGATTAACAATTTGGAGGAACACTTATTTTTATGATTCACCTGGAAAAAGAAAATCCTCCACTATACCTTTAAGTTAATCACTTTGAAAAAAACTTTTTAGCTATTACCTTTAGACTTTGGCTTCAACTGACCAGAGCTCCTTCTTCATCCTGTTTGCTGCAAATGACACTAAATTAAACTTTTTATGCCTACATATTTGTTTTTCATCTCACTTTCTCATAATGATCAGATACTTAACCAGTGTCAATATTCCTGCTAAATAGTGTTATCCAAATAGCATGATCCCACCACTACCATGAATTATCAGTTGAGAAGGAAGACTGTGTCTTTGGAGGTTTGCAGTTGTCCATCCTTCCTTTTTAGGTCCTTTTTATGGGACTCAGCTTTGTGGGATGTTCTAATTATTTATTTATTATGAATTTTCTCCACAACTGCTCTGACCTCTTATCTGTGTTCCTTATACCTCATTGTGGTTTTTACTCACTAATTTGCTCTAAAAAAAACCTCTAAGTTCTTCACAGAGCAGTTGTTAATATGTTTGCATTAAACTCTTTGCAGGTGGACTCCGTTTACCATTCAAATGATTTTATTTTGTGGTGTAAGATGTACGGGAGCTGAAAATGAGACTCTGCAGATTAATTTTTTTAAATATTCAGAAAAATTGTTTTTTTTTATTAAAAAATATTACTTCTTATTTGCTTTCCTTTCGGTTGCACAAATATACAGCCCATAGTGTTTATCTGTCAAATCCTAGCAAGATACAAGGAAATGTGTTGTATCCTGAGAAAACACGGAGAACTTTAACATACGTCAATCATTTTGCAGAAGTTCCGATGCATTTATTATGATCCTGTGTGGATTCCTCAAAGTCGAACCAAATGCATTCATTTGCTTTAAAATCTGGGTGCAAAGCATTAAGTTTGTTAAACATTTGTTTTCATTTCAATGTGATGTCAATCTGCAGCAACCTTTTACCTGTCAGCACTGTGGGAAACAGCTGAAATCCTCCACAGGGATGAAGTATCACATCATGGCTGACCACAGCCACCTGGTGAGATTACTATCTGCTTTTCACTTTTTATTTCTTCCATAATTTTCCAGCATTTAAACCACATAATCGATTAATGTTGTCTTGATCTATTTTATATTTTAGTCATCCAAAAAAAGTTTTGATTTTAGTTTAAGTTTATTCAGACTTTTAAAGAAAAAACAGACTCACATCATGTTTACATAGATAATATTCTGACCACAAAAAAACATGCCAAAGTAAATCTGAAACAGATTTTTGATTATGTGAAATTCATTTTAATGATGCGTTTGATTTACCTTTGAGCTTTGGAACTGGGATTTTGTTCCATTTTCCCAATGATTTCTTGAACACTCAATCTCCATTGTGTCATGTTGGGTTCAAGGCGTCTAACCCACATGCAGAAAACACTCTTGAAACAGGGAAAAAGTTAAAATGATTTATTTACAATGTTTACAAGTAAATGGGTCACAGGTTCTGGGTTCTTCTGATTGGTCACGGGAGGGAAGACACTGAGGAGGACAGAGCAGTTAGAGTTGATCCAGGAAATGTGCAGTTTACAGATGACGGGGATAAATACCTGCTCAGAGAGGATTCTGATCAGCAGGGGGGAAACCTTGTGAGTCCCCAGGCTAGTCGGCAGGCAGAGGGCTGAGGGCAGAGGCAGAGACTGAGACGGAGTGCAGGCAGGCAGATTCCAGACCGAGATTACTTTCTCCAGGATTTCAGGTTTCCAGAAAAGTCAGGATCTGTGAGGCAGTGAGATAAAAGATCAGACAGGTTCTCAAAATCAGGGTTACAGATCAGGCAGGCTGGCTCAGGTTTTGCTAACCATTACTGGCAAACACTCTGGCAGGGAAGTGTCAGCCTCCTCCTCCTTAAATAGGTCTCCTGATGAGCAGACAGGAAACAGGTGTGTAGGAGTAAGCTCATTCCCTCAGGAGGAAGATCTCAGGCACCCACTGGTGGAGAAAGTGGACAAGCCTCCAGATCCCAACACATTGCTCCTACAGCCACTGTTACAACCATAACTATATATGTCCTGAGATGGTAATAATATCAGAAACAGTTCAGAATCAGGCACAAAAGGAATATCGATTATATTGGCCTGCTTCTTAAATCTCTGATGTTAGCTCACTGATCATCATTTAGTCCGCTCCCGAAGTAGCAGCAAGGCTGGAATTTTGGCAAAAGTCTAAAAATTACATTACAGCCGAGAGAAAATATCCATATCTTTCTAAGGTTTTTTTTTTTTTTTACATTTTCATATCAAGGATTATGTTTATGTTTATGTTACCCATCGAATAATAGTAGCAAGTTCTTCTCTTATCTATTGTTGTTAACGATTTTTCCCACACTTTAAAAAAAAAATCATATGATGTATGAATCCTGCTGATATATCAGATCAATATCATATCAAAACGAAAAATTTGTATAGGGACAATCGTTACCATTAAAATGATCAAAACACTCAACTATCTAGTATTTTGCACATATTAGGTGCGCTGCAACATCTCGTCTTAAAAAAAAAAACACAAAAAAGTAGTTTGTGAAGAACTGACTTTATGCGACATACATTATGAAAAAGCTACAAACAGTCAAAGAGGGGAAGTCCAACTACTCTTGAAAAAGTCGGCCATCTTAATTCTCCAAGTCTTCTTGGAAATCTGACTGTTTCATATGAAACTTTCCAGATTTTTCAGATCGGGAGCTTTCCAAACCAAATGAAACACACCATTGAACTCTAATGAACAGCATTTCTGTTTGTATTGTGTTACCTTGGTTTATTTCTTCATGATGTTTGTCATCTATTGAAGGTTTTCCTAAGTTTGATATATGATTTCTAGCTTGTACATTTCGAACAGCAGCTTTAAATACGATATTAATCAGTATTGCTAGAATGCTGACATTAAAACCTTAATTTGTCTGTTTTTCTCCTCCTGAAAGCCATCAGCTGATGAAACCAAGGGCCTTGACGACCGCGCTATCAAAGAGAAGTTACGTAAAATACTTAAGAGACTGGGCAAACTGAAATGCTCCAAAGAGGTGAGGCATTGGTAATCCTGTCTTGTTTTATTTATTATTTTTTCTTTTAGGGGTATAAAAGACCCATAAAGTATTTATTTTTCTTATTTTCTTTTCAGGGCTGCACTGCTGCCTTCACAAGCATCATGGGCTACGTGTATCACATGAAGAAGTGTGGGAAGGAAGAGTCTGAGTTGGAGAAGTTGCTGCTTAATTGCTCCCACTGTGGGAAAACATACAAATCCAAGGCTGGCCTGGAGTACCACCTGAAATCAGAGCACGCACCCGTGAGCTATCTGTCTAATTTATGTCCCTTACATAATAGATTTACAGTAATCTATCAGCACTACTTTCATAAATTAATATGCAAGTGCTTAAGAAGATTCCTGCTATTGTCACTTCTTGATGAAGGTTTCCACTCCTGTTTTTTAGACACCCCAGAAGACTGAAGAGGACGAGGCCCTGAAGGCCCAAAGGGAGGCTAACCCAGAGAGGACGCCTAGTGGCCGAGTGCAGCGTGCCTCTGCACAGGTGGCCAACTTTCACCTGGCTGAGATCGCCAACAACGAACTGCCAAAAGACTGGCCCAAAAGAAAGTTTCAGTCAGACTTGGTGCCTGATGATAAAAAGGTAGGAAACAGATTTTACATAAGATAAAAATAAACATGTTCTTTTAACACAGAAACTGGGTGTATGGCTATGTTCACACTGCAGGCCTTGATGCTTAATTCCAATTTTTTTTTGTGGAATCTGATTTTTTTTTTAGCTGCCGTTCATATTTCCAAATATATGCGACTTGTATTTGATCTACTGTGTGAACTGCAGTCATACAACGCAAGTGTCCTGCATGCGCAGTAGAGGACGCGATGACGTCACAGGCCAGTGTGCACTGTGTTTAAGGAAGTAAACATGGATGGGAAAACCGGCGCGCATTAAGCGGTCTTTTCCAACCATTAAAACACAAAATTTTCAATATGGTTAAACATAAATACTGCTCTCCGCATCATCATCTGCCATTGTTGTTATATTTCTTGTAGCATCTGCGTAGCAAGACGCAGAATAGTGACCTTTGTCGGATATTAATGACGTTAAGGTTAGATGAATCCGACCTAGCCGTTCACACACAGGTCACATTTGAAAAGTATCCGATTCAGGACCACATTTCCAAGTGGCCTGGGTCAGATTGGAAAAAATCTGGGTCACTTCAGGATGCAGTGTGAACGTGGCCTAAGACAGGCTTTGATAACATACTCAAGTTATTTTTCTGTTGCCCTTTTTAGTTGAAATATGCGAGACCAGGCCTACCAGCATTCAGCCAAGAGGTGCTGAGGAAGTGGAAGAATGAGGTGAAGCTGCAAAGGAAAGTCCATTGTCCTAACCAGGTAGGGCACAAAACAATGACCTATATGTAAAGTTCCACACAGAAATTAGAACAAGTGGATTTCCAGAAGAAATTATGGAGTCCCACATGTTCTTTTGAAGGGTTGTACACTGACGCACTGCTAATTTTACTGACCAATGATCAGTGTTACTGAGTGTTATCCTTAGCCAACAGTTTCAGGTAGCACTAAATGTCACCATTGTGATCCACAGCAAAAATTTCACTATGGTCCCTGTAGGGGTGGAACATTGACAAAATCCACGGTTCGGTTCGGTTCATGGTTTCGTGGTCACGGTTTTCAGTTTGGTTCGGTATATGTTGATTGTTAGCCTGACATGTTGGTCGTGTTGCTATTAGCATAGACAAAACGTGTTGCACAATTCTTGCACACTGTTGCCCTTTTATCCCCAACTTTCTTTCCGCCGTCATCGTAGGTCACTCTAAATGCAAAGTGGTCCCATACAGCAGACCTATAAAGTGCTGCTGGAGCGTCTTCCAACTCCTGTTCTTTCCCACTCGCCATACCCACACAATTCTCCACAACAAATGATTTTTTCTACGCTGCTTCGCTTCTTCTTCTTCTTGTTTACTACTGGTGGTTGGCTTTGGTCGCAGTACCGCCACCTTCTGCTCTGGAGTGTAAACGCTTCGCCTATGAGAAAAAGGAGCAGCGCATGAACCGAACGAAACACACGTGAACCGAACCGAGACAGTCGAACCGAACGGTTCGGACGGTTTTCATAAACCGTTCCGTCCCTGGTGTCTGTGAGTATGTCGCTCTGACATACTGTCAGACTATTTACCGCTTCCTTTCAATGAAGTTGATGCTAACTGTGATATAGCTGAGTTTTTAATGTAATTCAGCAATCAGTGCTAGATAAGACTTTGTGCTGTTAGCAGCATCACAACAGCTGGGTTCTGGTTGCTCTCAGAGGAAAGAATGACTCCATGAAGTGCATTAGCTCAAAAAAGCCTCCTGTGCTTCCTGCCAGTATGTCTTTTTCTATCGTGTGAGAAATGTTTTGTGTAATGCCCTCCACATTTCTATCATCACATCCTCACCTCCTGAGCACAGCAAATAATTTATTGTGCTCTGCATTGCAGCACAGCCTAATGGGGCCTATTTAGGTTATAACTGAAGGAGTTTATCTAGTGTTTATATCTACTAACCTACATTACTAAACCAATGCCAAACCTGTCATGCTGAAGAAAGTTGCAAGCAGCAGATCGCTTTTTACGGGGTCTCCAGACTGTGTAACGTCTGTCACATGTGTTCAGTGGGAACCTGCTGTCATCTGTGAAGAGCACAGGGTGCCAGTGGGGAATTTGCCAATCCTGGTGTTCTCTGGAAAATGCCAAGCATCCTGCATGTTGTTGGGCTGTGAGCACAACCCCCATCTATGGACATTGTGCCCTCATACCATCCTCATGGAGTCGTTTCGTGCAGACACATGATTGAGGTCATTTTGCAGGGCTTTTGCAGTGCTCCTCCTATTCCTCCTTGTACAAAGGAAGACGTAGTGGTCCTGCTGCTGGGTTGTTGGCCTCCTACGTCCTCCTCCATTTCTCCTACGCTGACAAACACAGAAAACCTTCTTGCCACAGCTCACATTGATTAGCCATCCTGGATGAAGTGCAGTTCCTGAGCCACTTGTTTGGGTTGAAGAGTCTGTCTCATGCTACCACTAGTGTGAAAGCACCTCCAACATTCCAAAGTGAGCAAAACATCAGCTAGAAAGCATAGGTACTGAGGAGTAGTCTGTGGTCCCCACTCCTTTATTTAGTGTGTCTTGTCAATTTCAAATATTTTCCACCTGTTGTCTATTCCATTTTCACAACAGAATGTTAAATTGATTGTCAATCAGTGTTGCTTCCTAAGTGGACAGTTTGATTTAACAGAAGTTTTATTTTGGTTTTATTGAAGTTATATTGTCTTGTTTACGTGTTCCTTTTATTGTTTTTACCAGTGTATAAAAAAGAGATTTTTTTTTCTTTTTTAAATGTCACATATGGATTTCAAAACTATACACTTTAATTTCAGTAAAGTTAAAATTAAAATGTGAATGTGCAAGTTATTTAATGAGTATTAATTTATATTTCCCCATAGGGCTGTGACTGCACATACACCAGTGTGTCAGGACTAAAAGCTCACCTGGGACTGTGCACAAAGGTACATTGTGTGTTGTCTCTCCAGAGCTTTTTCAAAATGTATGAAAATTGAAAGAGTTAAATCTTTTTTGTGCTATGCTTAAAAAATTTGTAGAATAAGTAAATTTGTGTCATAGCCTGCGACACCCGTTTCAGCGCGGCCCGACGCCAGGCAGGTGGCATTTGTAAACAAACCACTGTAATAAAATTATACTGGCTTATTTTAATTTCCATTGACTACTTACCTAATTAAAAGGCTGCTATTTAAGGCTTCATTTTATTGCACTGTGGCCCTGATAAGGGATTGTATTGTTACCGTAGCTTGAAGAGGTAGGCATTTTATTTTCACATGGTTTGAAATTCCAGAAGTCCTTATATGCACAATTCAATTCAATTTTTTTTCTAATCCTCAAAATAGAAATAACACAATTTTCTATAATTCCATTGATGCAAGAAAACTAATAATGCATTATTACTTTAATGGAAGTTCAACTTAAAGCAGCAAATATCGTACAGCAGATTAGTGTCATCTAGTTTGTGTTATGTATTTCTTCCTACTTAGTCATTTTGATAGTGGGCCGTTGTACACTTGGAGCACTTAGGGGACTGATATAAGACTTTTACATTTTTGCGGCTCCAGACGGATCTGTTTTTTGTTTTCTTTTGGTCCAACATGCCTCTTTGAACCTTTTGGGTTGCTGACTCCTGCTCTAGAGAAAGGATTTCCTACTGATTTAATGTTTTAACCTTAGAAAACGTGTGTTTAAATGGATCAAACATCATTATTGGATTGTTATGAGGATGAAAAATATTTTGTATTCTGTTTTTGTATTCTTGAAGGGATTTACATCCACCTAGTGGTGGACTAGAGGAATTACAAACTACCAATTGGTGCCTCCCTGTCAAGCCTGTGCGACCTACTACAGAAGCTGAGGAGTGACATTCTACTCTTTTTGAGCTGAGGGACACATCAACCTCTGTCAGCCTTGTCAGATCTGCTAAATAAACAAACACATAAAAGTTCTCTGAAATCGGAACTATAAAAAGCCAATGGTCGTTAGCTGTCTAACCGTCAGCTGATAACTGTTGCATCAGAGTTCATCCTTTGTAGGATAACACAGAAAATAGCAATGTCTGCTGGGAGGACAGACAAGTTGTTGGACTACATTGTCCTTTATTTGAAAATTCCTAATTAATCCTAATTTTATCCAGGTTTAATAATTGTTTTGATGTCATTGGTTTGTTTTTATTGCCTATCTCTGGACAAAGAGTACAAATGTTCATGATTGCAACAGATAATGGAAGATGGAATGATATACAATTGTTTTTGCTTGTTATAAACTCCTTCACCACTTGCAACACAGATACAGGTAAAAACATGTAAGGCTGACAAGTTTGTCCCCTTTTGGCTACTCTTATTAAAAATGACAACACAGCATTGCATCTCCCATTGGGTCACCGCCCCCTAACTACTCATTTTCAGCTATGAGAACAATTTCATTTCTGATGTGATGCTATTGAACTTTCGTAGAATGTCTCTCTGTTAAAACAATACTTTAATATTTATCATAAAAAGCCAAATTTGTTACAAACTTTCCCTATAAATGAATATAATTTTTAATTTAAGGAGTAGCTTGCATGAGAGTAGTTGTTTAACTTAGTGACTTATTGGTGAAAAAATTCTTGCTTAAACTGATCATCTTGATTTTGCTTCCTTTATTCAGGGTGAATTTGAAGCTGGAAAATACAGATGTTTAATCTGCAACAAGGAGTTTAATTCTGAAAGTGGAGTGAAATACCACATAAACTCGGTTCATTCACAGGTAATAACAAGATGGCACGTCTCTTTCTTTCTCTCTTTCCTTTCTATTTTATCAGTTGATGATCTTTGTTAGCTTCGATCAGTTCAATGACTTACCAAAATTCTGTCGGAAGGATAAATACTTTCCTACCTAATAAACTTTTTTACACAAACTGAAGTACGAAGGAGAATGTGTATAGTTCTCAGGTTAAGATATGTTTATCATCACTGAAACAATTAAAGGACATGAATGAATAATTTTTTCTTTATTAAACTACCTAAGATCTGTTTGTTAATGATTGTTCAGGCTAAAACACAAACACAAAGTCCTCTAAATAAAAAAAGTAATTTAAAAATCAACCTTTTTGTTGCATACAGTAACAGTGGAGAGGAAAAACTACATTTTAACAGGAAAAAAACCTCCAGTAGAACCAGGTTTAATGTGAGTAGCCTTCAGGGAGTTCCTGAAATGGGGGTTCATGGAGACAGAAGCAGACAAAGAAAAGGAACATAGAAGCGCTGATCCATAAATACTCTGTTAGACAAGGTAACAGCAAACCAGCTCCACCGATGTCTCTTTCTTAAGAAAAGAACAGCTAGCCAGATGAGCTATGAGCCGGTTTTAATGTCGAAAGGCATGAAAGAGAGCACAGGCCAACTCTATCCTCTATAACCACAAGTGTCAATGGCAGCTGGCCAGCTGATATTCCCCTGTAGGAGAGTGTCACAGCGAGACGGAACCAGACCAAATGAAGCCCAAATGACAAAAAAGCAGAGAAAATATAAAACTAGAGGTTAAATAGACAAATATTGCAGAATTAGAGAATGGAGAGCAGAGTGAGGAAAAGTGGCCCCTATGTCCTTCAGCAGCCTTGGTTTATAGCAGCATAACTATACAGATTTATACTGTAACAGTATAAAAGAGACAAAAAAGGATATTACGTGTGAGCCACTCAACTATAAGATTAAATAAAAAGGAAAGTTTTAAGCCCAGTCTTACTTAACAACTATTAATAAACAAATTGACCCCTGTTCTTATTTTACCAGATTAGAGAAAGCCAGAATATAAATATTCTACCCTGTTAGATAAAACATCTCCACTCTGAGGTTATTTTCACATTTAGGTCTCCCCTCATTCATTATTTCTGTTAAAGAAAACGATTTATAGGTCTAACACTGTAACAAAGTTGTTGAATCTTTAAAGTAAAAAGAAATAACCAGTGCTACGACCACCTCCTCAGTTTCTTTGAACAAAAATTGTCCTAAAAAGCATAATTTTTTCACCCATAAAAGATCCATTGAGGGTCAGAGCTTATAAAGGTTTCACCCTTCATGCCTATCTCTAGGGGTTTAATGGGAGAGCAGGAAGTAGTCTATGGTGGGTCCATCTGGACCTCAAACATAAAGCATTTACTCAGATAAAACAGATTTAAAGTTAGTGTCAGGCATGCAGAATGATAGGTGCACCCGGCCCAACCAGGTTACACAAAGGAGAAATCATTTCTGGTCAGGGCATTTGCTAAGATCGCAAACATACTATTGTACAGTGAATAAAGACAACAAAGGTTATGGACTGTAACACTATAAAAGACATTAAAAAAAAACGGTATGTGTGATGATTCAGCAGCACAATGAGCCCCACAAACCTCAGAAAATAAAAAAACTTGATGCTAGAAATTCAGCCGTATTGATGATTGAATACAGACGTCAATTCACAAACCGCGCAACATTGTAAACCCACTCGAACATCCCCCATAAATGCCTACCTCCTAACTGTCTATCCCATGCATAGAAATCTTTCAAGATACTAACAATACCAATGCAAAATGTGTGCTTTGTGATTAAATTGTATCTATATAGAAACTATTGTATGAGTTTGAGAGACTAACCTATAAATAATCCCAACAAGAATCTTAACAGCAATTATTTTCCGTACATTGATGAACAAACAGTTGATTAGTTATAACCAGGGGAGTTTTATTGCCTTTTTATTTACATAAATCTAATTTGTCCAACTGTTCCTTTAAAATTAACAGCTTCTAATTAACTATTTTTGCAGTTTATTTAAAAAATGAGAACAAAGTTTGTTTTTATCAAGTAAAAAAGGAAAACGATTGTTCCATTACTCTGAGCATGCATGCAGTGATAGTGGAGAAAAAAACCTGCCTGTTAGCAGGAAGAATCCTCTGGGAGATCCAGGCTTAATATGAGATGGGGTTAAACGAGCCTTGACAGTGTTGTTTTTAAGTCACATACACTCACCGGCCACTTTATTAGGTACACCTGTCCAACTGCTCGTTAACACTTAATTTCTAAGCAGCCAATCACATGGCGGCAACTCAGTGCATTTAGGCATGTAGACATGGTCAAGACAATCTCCTGCAGTTCAAACCGAGCATCAGTATGGGGAAGAAAGGTGATTTGAGTGACTTTTAACGTGGCATGATTGTTGGTGCCAGAAGGGCTGGTCTGAGTATTTCAGAAACTGCTGATCTACTGGGATTTTCACGCACAACCATCTCTAGGGTTTACAGAGAATGGTCCGAAAAAGAAAAAACATCCAGTTAGCGGCAGTTCTGTGGGCGGAAATGCCTTGTTGATGCCAGAGGTCAGAGAAGAATGGCCAGACTGGTTCGAGCTGATAGAAGGGCAACAGTGACTCAAATAACCACCCGTTACAACCAAGGTGGGCAGAAGAGCATCTCTGAACGCACAGTACGTCCAACTTTGAGGCAGATGGGCTACAGCAGCAGAAGACCACACCGGGTGCCACTCCTTTCAGCTAAGAACAGGAAACTGAGGCTACAATTTGCACAAGCTCATTGAAATTGGACAATAGAAGATTGGAAAAACGTTGCCTGGTCTGATGAGTCTCGATTTCTGCTGCGACATTCGGATGGTAGGGTCAGAATTTGGCGTCTACAACATGAAAGCATGGATCCATCCTGCCTTGTATCAACGGTTCAGGCTGGTGGTGGTGGTGTCATGGTGTGGGGAATATTTTCTTGGCACTCTTTGGGCCCCTTGGTACCAATTCAACATCGTTGCAATGCCACAGCCTACCTGAGTATTGTTGCTGACCATGTCCATCCCTTTATGACCACAATGTACCCAACTTCTGATGGCTACTTTCAGCAGGATAATGCGCCATGTCATAAAGCTGGAATCATCTCAGACTGGTATCTTGAACATGGCAATGAGTTCACTGTACTCAAATGGCCTCCACAGTCACCAGATCTCAATCCAATAGAGCATCTTTGGGATGTGGTGGAACGGGACATTCGCATCATGGATGTGCAGCCGACAAATCTGTGGCAACTGTGTGATGCTATCATGTCAATAAGGACCAAACTCCCTGAGGAATGCTTCCAGCACCTTGTTGAATCTATGCCACGAAGAATTGAGGCAGTTCTGAAGGCAAAAGGGGGTCCAACCCGTTACTAGCATGGTACCTGATAAAGTGGCCGGTGAGTGTATTTAGTGCTACTTGGTCCCAATATAATTTCCCATCGGGAACCTACGAGCACTAACTTGCTAACTGGTTAGCAACGATGCTTCAGAGAAATCAGCCACAACCAAACGTGTTTGCGAACCTTCTGCCACAACAATTCCGCCCCCTTGATAATCGACCAATCGCATTCACTTTATTCACTTGTGTAAAGTCGGGCACCACTCCGGAGAATTTGAACTGTCAAATTCCTACGACTTTAAGGGATCCTTCCTCCGCTGTGCTTTGTATATGCAGTATGAAATTAGACTGTGTAATTCTGAAATGTGGTCTATGAACAATCTTGCCTTGCCAAGAAAAGCAACTCCTGTAAATGAAAGTTGTGATCGGATGCGTTTCTTTTCGTTGCACAAGTTAGAGGAATTTAGCTTTCATCCATTAAACTTAGCAGTGTTGCTTTGCTTTGTTGTTATTTTCACTTCTGTCTTTGCTTTATGTCCCGACAGGACTGGTTCGTCACAAACAAAAAAGCATCTAAGAAGTTCGAAAGGTTCCTCAAGAACCACTCAAAAGAGGCTGTTAAACCAGACAAGCAAACTGCTGATCAGTACCACCATCACCACCTGCACCAGCCGCACCACAAGCAGCATCACCATTATCACTATCAGCAGCACCAGCAGCATCCACTGCAGCCACTGCATCACCTCCAGCACCAAGCCCACTTCCTCCACCCAGAGCAGCAGAACCTCCACCAACAAGAGGACCCCCAGCTTCAGCAGCCGGAGCTCCACTACACTCCTCTGGAACCTCCCACTGGACCAATGTGGTTAGACATGGACCGCAAGGAAGCTGTTCCAGGACCAGAGCACATCAACATTCACATAGTCAATGCGATCAAATCTGAAGAGGACTGCAATGAGATAATGGAGGTTCAAGGGACAGTCAAGGGAGAATCACTAGGAGAAACAGGGATGGTGGACGTAAAACAGGCAAACTGCTTTGCTTTCAGCACCAGCGGCTCACCCAGCGAGATGGAGACCGGGCTTCACGACAGACAGCGCCAGATCGTCCAGTGGAACCTGAAACAGCCTGGGGTTGTGGAGCCCCATGCTGACTCTGCAAAATGAGACCGAGAAACGATGGCAACTTTGCATCAGCTGCTAAAATAAATTATGCAACACTCAGCTGCTTCTATGAACACAAAGAAATAAACCTGCAGAACATTGCGATGTAACGGCAGCTGAAGATGATGATGCACTACAGCTGGAATGCTTTGGAGGTTAAAAATGACTTCCAGCTGATGAAGGACACCTAGCATGAAGCCTCGGATTTAACACTTTGATCACTCTATACGGTTGCCAAATGTAGTCACATTCTTTGTCTGGGCATTTTCACCTGTTTTAAATATGCTGGTAAAGATTCCCAGTCATCCAGGTCATAGTCATTCAAAAAAAAAAAGAAAATTAAAAACGATCCACTTGATTTTGTATCCAAGTTTGAAGAAGTTTTACTTCCCATTCAGGAAGCTTTTTCAATTCAAAATCTCAGGAATAGCGTTAAGTTTGAGGTTTTATACAGTAGCCCAACAAAGCCTTGTTTTTGTTTTGAAAACATACAAATTAAAACGGGAATCCTTAGTGCATCCTAAGGACAAAACCTGAGACCAAAAATGAGCGGAGTGGTATGTGCAGTTCAGTGCAGTGAGGTCTGCTCAGATCTTTATATTGGAGAAACCAAATAACCTCTCCACTAGGTTTGTCACGATACTAAAATTTTCAACTCGATACCGATACTAAGTAAAATATTCGATACTCTATACCCTTTTCGATACCACAAGAATAAAAACAAAGACTCTAAAATTCAACAGAAATATTTTCATTACTAAAAAAATACAAGAAATAAATAAAAAAACAATAAGACTAATATTTTGAGGTCGTATGCTGTGCACAATATTAAACAAGCTTGATAAAAAACGTACAAAATTAAAATTAAGTATTCCTTCCTTGGCTATATTTTGCAGACATAACAATGACACTAGCCAAACCAGTTAAACAAAAATAATTCTCAGCAGCTGCACCTGTTACAAAAAAATGTCTAAAACTGAAAAATGCACAGAATTATTCAATCACACAGTGTTCAGCAAGTGCATTTTCCACTATTCTGCACTTTAGATGGCTGTATCGATACTTTTGAAAATGAGTATTGTATCCGGATACGTTTCAGTATCAATACTTTTTTGAGTATCGATACTTTTGACAACCCTACTCTCTACAGACGCATTGCCCAACACAGGAGAACAACCTCCTCGGGACAAGACTCTGAGGTACATCTACACCTTATGGACAAAGAATATTCTTTTGAGGACCAGAATGTTTTCTATTTGAACAAAGAAAATTGGTGGTTTGAGAGGGGCGTGAAGGAAGCCATCTATGTTAAGAAAGAAAAACCAACCTTAAACAGAGGAGGTGGACTCAGATTTAGCTTTCAAAAACCTAAAATGCAGCAATAGGCTCTATGCACAACTCCACCATTTCCTGAACTTCAGGAGGCTCCTTTGTTTCCTGTCTTTCATGATTGGATGCACTGATTATTCCAAGTGTGTAAGACCTAAGTAACTGGCCAGACACACCTGAATTAATCAGTTTGTCCAGTAATGAAAGACAGGAAACAAAGGAGCTACCTGAAATTCAGGAAGTAGTGGAGCTGTGCATAAAGCCCATTGAGTTAATGCCTTCCCGCTCTCATTGCAGCCCCACCCCCTATACAGGAGAGTGGAGGACCTCGCTTAGTCAGCTAGGCCAACAATTCCCTTTAACGACCCACCTTTCAGAGACATAGAAAGCTATGGGGCACTGCAGGCTAGCAAAAGAAGCTAAACGACCCCGATTCCAAAGGGGTGGACCCTTCATCCGATTCAATTTGCATGTTTTCAAAACAAAAACAAGGCTTTGTTGGGCTACCGTATAAAACCGCAAACTCAACTCTGTTCCTGACATTTTGAATTAAAAAACACTTTTGGATGGGAAACAAAACGTCTTCAAACTTGGAAGCCAATTCCAGTGGATCTTTTTGAATTATCTTATTTTGGAATTACCTGTTTTTTTAATGTCACTTTTTCAAAGCTTTCCAATTTTGTTTTGTTTTTTGTCAACTGTACTGCATGAGATACAGTTAGTTTAACCACAAAAAGGATGTCAGATTATTATTATTATTATTTTTTTTTTGACTCATTATCAAGATCTGTCTAACCTCATTTAATTTAATTTACGACTGACGGATTGTCTTAGGTCTCACCATGAAGGAGTTAGAAAGAAGACATCAACATTACAGTAGCACACTAAGTCGGTAACTGTGTTTCCAAAAGCAAAAAGCTTTTCTGTGTGTGGAAAAAACTAGGTTTATATATAAAGCTGTTACACGGAAATAGTTATAGACTTTTCCAGACTTTTATCTCCACAAATTAGGTATACATCTCTGTTTGTGTGGATTTTAATGACAAAAAATCATGTTTGAGGCTTCAGTGTTTTCAGCATCAAAAGCAAGAAAACAGATTAATATTATTAGTTTAATTTTCTGAATATTGTCCTTACATTAGATGAAGTCATAAATCCACATAATCAAGAGTTAGCCGATTTTTTTTTTAAATAATAAAACAAAATGGGATGTAGTGTTTTTTTTTTTAACAACACATAAAAAAACATTTAGATGCATGATCTCCACTGTGATTCATCTCTAGGGGGAAAATAATATTTTACATTTTCTGTTTCAGATTCAGATTTCTTATTGTCTCTCTCCTAATATATTCCTGTTATTATTGTTAGAGTTTAGATGAATGTTTATGTTATCTGCTATTTAAAACCACTGTGGTTAAGCACAATAATTAATGTTTAAAAGAGATATTTTTTTCAGCTGTTGAAATGTATTGATGTTGTTGTTTTTAGACGTTTGCACACTTCTTTTCAAACCAAACTAAAGACACGAGTCTTGATTGAGTCAGTTTCCCATTGATTATTTTTGAATGTTTATTAGTGGTTTTTGTTTTTAAAAAGACAAAACTCTCATTGTGACTTTCACACATCATTTAGTGTTGTAAAAAGTTCAGTAATCCCCTCAAGAGAAGTTTATTTTTTCTTTTAGCCTCTTAAAATATTGCTGATTCTCTCATCCTCTTTTGTTTCATTAATTGGATTCTTAATATTATAAGCTTCTGTTATTGACCAAGTTCTGTAGATCATAAACACTTATACTTTTCTATTATGTTTCCATGTAAAGTGAATAATAATGACTGTTCCAATTTTTGTAGATATTTGTTTAGAACTGGGTATGTTTTGAAAATTAGTCCATCAGAGGTGGATTTATTAGATAAATCTGCAGAATCTAATTGAAGCCATCTTCTTCAAGTTGTCTTTTTATTTCACTTTTAGATAAATTCAAAGAAAATCAAGTCATAAAGAAAGAAAAAAAACTGAAGTGGCCCCTAAAATCAAAATTGGGACTTGCAAATTCAAGGTCTGGTCCCAAACTACAACCTTGGTTGCCATGGGAATAAAACATGGCATCAGCAGTAATAAAATATTTATCTACCATTTCTACACAGCTTTGAAAAGTACAGGAAGCACAGGAAGAAATCTATATTGCGAATGAATGTTGATTTTTCCTGCTAACTGGACCTACTCTTCAGTTGGTGCAGCAGTAAGCAAATCCAACCTCTTTTCCAATTTAATTTAGTTTATTCATATAGCGCCAATTCGCACATTGATACATCATCCCAAAGCACTAATTGCAATTCAACCAGATCATACAATCAGATTGGTTCAAAGTTTTCTATCTAAGGAAAACCAGCTAATTACATCGACTCGTTGACTCGAAGGCAATCCCTCAAAACAAGCATGCTAGTAGCGACTGTGGATAGGAACAATCCCTTTTAACAGGAATAAACCTCCAGCAGAACCAATGCACAACTTAGTTTAAGGGGCCATCTGCTAAGGCCGACTATAGAATAGAATAGATAGAATGAAGCAGAAGGATGAAAAGTGGTCCCTCCAACAGTCTAAGTCTACAGCAGCATAACTAAAGAGATAGCTCAGGATAACCTGAGCCACTCTCACTATAAGCTTTAGCAAAAAGGAAACTTTTAAGCTGAGCCTTAAAATGTTAAATGGCCTGTACTTATATAGTGCTTTTTTCAAGTCACCCATACACTCCCAACCTACACTGGTGCCACCAGGCCCTCTGACCATCATCAGTAGGCAATAAAGGTAAGGACACAGCAACAGTGAAAGCCAGAGCCGGGGCTTGAACCAACAACCCTGGGGTTGCAGGGCAAAATCTTGTCTCCGAAGCTACTGCCACCACTGTTAAAGTAGAAGGGTGTCTGCCTCAAAGAATAAAATTTAAAAGAAAAACTTACAAGTTGGATGAGCTTATACACATAATGTTAAATTTGGAAGTAGTTGAAAAATGTTAAATGGCAAACTCCAAGTAAGCAAAATAGGTTTGGCACATTTAAATGGATTTAGTAAAATATTAGATTTCATATTTATAAAAGCTTGTGTTTAAGGCAAAATAATTATTGAGGTTTTCTTTGGCAGATGTATACAAACTACAGCAGAAACCTTGAACAAAGATGGAAATATTTACAATAAAATAGGAGGTATTGCAAGTATTGGTGCAAATGTATTCAGATGGCCAACCACTTAACTTAAAGGCCAGGCAAAGATATATTGATTAGATAAATGGGAAAGAAGTTCATGGTAACTTTGGAGGGGCTGCAGAGATGCTCATTGTGTCTATTATACAGAAACAATGGTGTCAGGTGGAGGAGTTTGCCCTGCTGTCAGGTTTTCGGTTCGAGCCCTGGGTCTGGCTTTCAGTGTGCATTGCCTACTGATGGAGGTCAGAGGACCTGGTGGTGCCAGTGTACGGCAGCCTCAGTGAGCCCCAGGGCAGCTGAGGCTACCATGTAGCTTGCCACGATTAATGACTGAATGTAATGTAATGCACTTCTACAGTCACAAAGATAAAGCCAATGTTTTTATTTTTTAGAGTTTTTCACAAGCAAAAAGGTCACATGAGAGAACTAAATGCACTTAATCAGAAAAAGATGCAACAGCGAAACAGGGGCTTCCAAAAATAGTGTGACTGGGGCTGAGTTTGATCATCTAAAGATGACAGCAAAAGCTACAGTGGAAGGGTTTAGATCATATGATTATGCTTTAGAATAAGACAAACCAGACAAAATTCAACAGAGAATTTAGTGGCAAAGCTGCAAAATGTGTATGCACTGGCTCAAGTTTTTCTTGTTCTTTTTTTTGTTTGTTTGTTTCTTGTTTGTTTTTGTTTTTTTGTTGTTGTTTTTTTTGTTTGTTTTTTTTTTGTCCAGAATCACTAGACATTATCTTTGTCATAAAAAAGCAAAACAAAACAAAACAAAAACTTTACAAGCAGTCAGATACTAGAAATATGGAAACCAATCCATTGTAATTCAACATTTTACCAATAGGGGGCGGTGTGGATCTCCATGCTTCTACAGTAACATGGCGGTCTGATGTAAGGATATTTTTGGTTTGATTTTTCAAAAGTACAAGGACCTGCAATCGAGGTATTTGCAGTTTTATCATTCAGACTAAATAATATGAGCTAGAATATTCAGTTATTTTTGCTGTGGGCAGTCAGTCAGTCTCTGTAGATTTCTTCCTGAGTGCCATGTTCGGGTTTCGATCCCGTCTGGTCGGAGTCTGGTATCCCGAGCTCTTTGCGAGGCTTTCCAGGCTCTGCCACCGGGGTAGAAGTCCAGATATCAGGCACGATTTCCTTTTAATCGTGACATTCATAATAGGTGCATTTCAGAAGTACCAAGATAAAAGTAGCACAACACACTGCTATTATCTTAGCCAGCTAGCTTAGCTTTGTGTGTTAGCTAAAAGACGCTGACTTGGTTAGAAATCAACCGAGTTTTTTATTTTTTATCACTGAATTAACTTTCTATTTTATCTTTTTTTACATATAAAGTGTGCCGAAGTCATGTAAAGAGTGAGACAATGTTTGCTACCGATTCTTAAAAATGTATTTTTTGTATTAACTCTGCAGTTACTAAATAGGGGTAAACTTAATTTTTTTCAACGAAGTCTGGTGTGACAGGAACACGATCCCTCAACCACGCTAGAGTTAGCATCTGGTTTCTATCTTCTCTTAATGTATTTTTAATAGTTATCGCTGTCTCAACTACGTTTAATAAACTTTCAGTTAGAATCTGAAATATCTAAGTAATTTAAAATGTATCTGATATTTAAAGGAAGTCACATTAAAAGGGTGAACTAGTCCTTTACTCACATGCTGAATCGGATTCACATGGAACCTATGTATATTAGTGGATAGATTTTAGTTTACATCCATTATAGTTATTTTCACTTGTTTTTCTAGCTCTTTAAGTATAAAATCAAGGAAATTAAGCAATATTATTGAATTCTGTGTCATGACTTTAACTAAAATTGTGTGCTTTTAATAGACGTTGAATAAAGTTTCATACATGAAGAAAATTTTAGAGGAAACCTTCAAGTAACATGGAGCCAGTGGATCCTGTTGTCTCAGGAAAAGGTTTGTAGAAACACACTCTTTCCAGTTAGGTTTTATTTTCTTATGTGATTGTATAAATATGTTATATATATCACCATTTGAACTTCTTTAACATTAAATGCACCAATTTCAGTGGGATTGTATGTGATATGCTGACATGTATAAGCAAAAGGATAAATGATTGATGATATTTACAACAAAAAAATCTGCAAAGTCTTATTTTTGTCAAATTCTTTGGATTTATATATATATATATATATATATATATATATATGCCATTATATATAAGCCATTCTCACATGCTTTCTCCTTGCAGGGCAAGACAAGCCATCACAGTCTCTTTATTTATCTCCCAGCTCGAAAGGACGGCAACGGAAGAAAAACCCCAAGTATTTAGATGAACCGGATTTCACTGAAAATGTCAAACAGAAATCCCCCAGAAAGTCACCGGAAAAAGGTGTACCCCCTAAAAAGACCCCTGCAAAACCTAGAAAAACTAAAAAACCTCCAACAGAGACTGCAAACGGAGAAAAAGAACAAATCCCTCCAGATGCGGTGGTACAGACATTAGTAACGCCTAAAAGACGAGGAAGATCCAAAAAAACACCGTTAGTGAAGACGGCTTCGCCGTCTCTAACTGTCACTGCTGATGGAGACCCCCCAACCACAGAGACTGGAGGTGCAGAAAATTCAGTCAAGCAGGAAAATGGGACACCGAAGCCAAAGAGAAAGTATGTCAGAAAGAAGCCTGTAGAGGAAGTTAGAGATCCACCAGATAAAAAGGAGCAAGGAGAACCTGATGAGGAGCCTGAATCCGGGGGCCGTCGCAGAAGAGGGGCCGCAAAGGTGTAAGTTACATGAAGTCTAAAATATGCATTTAAAGAAACATACACTTTGAATTATTGCATATTTAAAGTGTGGCTTCTGTAGAAATATATAAAACTCTACGTGTTCTGTTAGCCTTTCTTTACTAAAATATTGCATCTAGATATGAAGATCTAGCCTCCTTCCCTTCAATGGCTTCAATTATACCTGCATTAACCTTAATGCAATAAACAAAACCCCAAAAAATCTTCCAGGGCGCTGAAATACCTTCACGATTTAGCCAAAGAGGCGTTTGCTCATTCCAGAGATGAACCGGACTCTGGGCAGCAAGGAGAATCCCAAAAGAAAGGCTCCAAAAAAGGTAGAGTGGAAGTCTTCATTGTTTGCATCACCTGCCGCTCGATCTCTCGCCTTATAGCTTCTGTTTTAATCTCACTCTAGCCTTTCATAGATTAATTTTTTACCCAGTGTTGAAGGAAAGGTCCGGTCAGCAAGGAATAATCAATGGATCGTTGCGATCACTCATTCTAGGAGCGGCCATTTTTGCCCAAATATAGTAACACCTCGCTCCGGACATCTTCCAGCAGTGACGTCACGGTGCGGTAAGCCTAGCTCCATTCTCCCCACTTTACAAGCAAAATCAATGGGAACTACTAGACACATATCAACAACTATAGGGCTTGGGCGTCGTGACGTAATTACTTTGCGTCGCTGCCATCTTGAATGCCTCTTTTACCGCTGCTCATACTACTGCCTATGACTACCGCATACTGTAGTCCCTCTCAGCCGTGTTTTAATTTGATTAATTTCACCTTAACTTGATTTCAACCATGATAAACCGTTGCTGTATTGTGGGCTGTAACAGCACAACACATGATCGCCATGGGAAAAACATAGAAAATGGGTTAACTTTCCACCGCTTTCCTGCCTGAAAGCGCAACCACGGAGACCAAGTGTCAGAGATAACGGGCGTTTCTCAATATGCGTTCTTGAGCGTTCTCGTGTGCTCGTGTACTCGTGACACATCATCAGCCTCAGCCCGAGTACCGTTCCAATTCTCGAGAACGCCAGATCGAGACCGCATCAAATCCCTGGATGTTGTTCTCACCCCGCCCTCTTTATCGAGCATGCTCGCGTTCTCGTCAAGTCCGATCTTCCTGCGTTCTCGCCAAGAACGGACTTGACGAGAACGCGAGTACGTACTCGCGATCTCGTCTGAATTGAGAAACGCCCAAAGAGTTGTCGGCTAGCTTGGATCGCGGCTGTAAGACGACCGAACATAACTTTCCACAGTATCCCGATGTCAATGATGGTCTATTCCCTGCATTTTCATTCTGGTAAGTTAAAGATGGTTTTATTTTATAGCCTACATTGTTTCTTTCCTTCAAAGTTGGGATCTTTTACGGGAGAGAGCCAGCGGGAAAAGGCTCAAATAGATGAGAAACCCGGAGGGTTTAGGGAGGGTTGGCAGTTAATGTTACTAACTACACCTTTGAAACACATAGCAGCTAGTTAAAAGTACATTACATGCGTGAGTGGTTGTTAGCATTAGCGGTTAGCAGTTGCTAAACTAGCAGGTTCCAGAGCCCGTCTGATCACAGCTTACCTTCGTACGGATTACTGTGTTCCCACTGTTTGCTGGCTTTATGATCTGCAGCTCCTGAACCCATCCATTCATGAACTGCACATGAGACTCCAAGGACTTCGGAACTGTTTTGAAGTATAGGCGCTCACTCATCGGTGCTCCACTCATTGTTTGGAACTTCATATGGATCCAAATTATTAATAATGCTGATTTTTGTCAACATACCGGTCCGTGGCTCCTCTATTTAATGTGTCCCGGTAAATTCCAGATGCTTTTCGGGATTTTAAAATCTTTTTCTCTCTACTTCTACGTCTCTTCTTTCAACAACAACGTTGTATCAGAGCTATGTTTATGTTCGTGTAGCCATCAACATGGCCGCCACGTCATACAATGCAACGCGGATCCCAAGCCCTTTTAGCCATGCATGTAGTATATTAGATTTTGAGAGGACTTCACCATTTTAATTCACCAGAGCTATAGTTAAACTAACAATGACCTTGTGCATGGCAGTTGGATGTTGTAATACATCGTATAAAAGTGAAAAAAAAATATTAGTTATTTCACTTTTCCTCCACGGACGGGTTCGTCATTGCCATCAAACCTCTGGCCAGATAAAAAACACGTAATATGTAGCCAACATTTGGAAGAAGAATGTTTTCAAGATGACTTGGATAATAGCGCGTTGTGACAAACACCAGATACAGCACTAGCACCTGATCAACAGCTGATACCGCACCATGACGTCACAAACCAGTAGGTGGCAGTAGTGTTCTTTGACAAACATGGATGCCTCCAGTAAAGCACATTCAAATTAAAATTACGCTTAATTAAAACACTTATCATTTATTGAACAGAAGGTAATAATTTCATATTTAAAGCACTTTCTGAAGTTTGAATTCTGAATATGACTGAACTTTTCCTTTAAAGAAAGACACTGTCAAAAAACCCACCTTTACGATTTAAGCAAACAGTAAAACGATGATGAAACGCATCTATAGATGGAAATTGCAGCTTTCAAAAATCACATAGGAAGAAATGAAGGTAACTTTTAGAGGATAGAACTTTGTAGGATTCTTATCTATGTGTCTGAACTCCAGGCCGAAAGAGAAAACGGGACAACATCGACGCTCTTGACGATGAAGACTTTGTTCCGAATATCGTAGACGAAGAAGAGGACGAGGCTGATGAAGGCGACCAGGAAGAGGAAGAGTTTTGGGATGAGGAGAGAGATGGCAGAAGGTTTCCATCTGCTTTTTACAGCAGCAAGGGCCGTGTAAGATATCATTTTGATTTCAAGACTTGGGTCTCTATTGATCAATTTGATAAATCTCACTACAATATAGAGTTAGATGGCCAAGAAAAAGATTTTTGCTGACTAATAGAATTTTCTTTTGTCTGTTTTTATAAGCAGAGCTGAAGGGATGTAGAACATTAGAAAATTAGCTTTCATCATGAATTATCAATCAAAAGGCATAATAAACTAAAACCATATTCACTCTGTGTTTTTATTCCCTGCACCCTTACAGGGCAAACCCATCAAAGGAATACCTAATAATATCATACAGACAATGACGGACTCAGCTGAGAAAACCAGGAAATTGTAAGTGGCTTTTCTCTCTGTGTTGAAGTTCTGCATCTTGGCATAGAGAAGTAGTTTGAAAATAAAGACCTGCAGGTTTGTCCAACTGCATGTCTGTGTGTTTTCAGCCGGGAAGAGCACTGCAGCAGCTGGGTGTTCCCAGACTGGGTTCCCTCTGCTAAAGATTGGGAGCCTGTTCCAGAAAAGTAGGTTCCCTTTGTCTGTTTTGTGTGCCTACTATCAAACACTTGATTTGGCAGCTATGTGTGACTTAGTGGTAGCAGGAACAACGTTAAACGAGATAACATTCCCCAATGCAGCCACCAACAAGGGGTGGATTTACCATTAGGCAATACCAGGCAGTTGCCTAGGGCCCCGAGTTCCTGGGGGCCCCATAAAACTCTGTTTCCATGTATGGTTAATACAACTTTTCCTTATTTGTGCACATTAATTATGTTTTTGATAAAATCCTTTGGCTAAAATGCCATCAGAACAAAGAAAAAAGCTCCTAGCGCCAAATCTAGCGACTTTTTTCTGCTACTGGAGACTTTGGAGACAACATCTAAAAGCAGCGAACTCTGCTCTCCAGAGCGAGTAGATTGGTAACCCCGCCTCCTGCTCTCCTCTATCTTGTCTGCTATCATGATTCATGCAGCTATAATTTCATCCAAATGAAAAATGGAGAACAGAGAAGCAGATCATGGCTTGTCTACAGTGAAAAGAAGGACTGGGTTATTTACTTTTGCCTTTTTGGAAACACTGGAAGGAGCAATCAGCTCAGTGAGCTTAGTTCTTGAAAAAAATCTTTCATTCCTTAAGAGACAGCATGAAAAGTCAGCTGAGTACAAAACATAGAGAGGAAAACAAGAAGAAAAGGGACAAGAAGAGAGGAACAAAACCTAGAACAGATAATGGATGTCTATTCTATTAACATTTCTCTATCTGTAGAATGGGGCTCTTTGATGTGTTGTCTTCTCCATTCAGAGGGGCCCCTGCCTGTCTTTGCCTAGGGCCCCAAAATTCCTAAAGTCGCCCCTGCCGCCAACGGCTCGTTTCCCAACCCATTGCCTTTTACTGCACCCTTCTGTCTCTGCCATTATCTCCTTTTCCAGCTACCAGTTATTAAAGGTCACTAGGATCCAAAGGAACAGACTTTTAGCCAGCAAAGTGTACGGGTCTACATTGTATGCCCTTTAATATAAATAGTAGAAATTGTACGGCCTGTGTTTGAAATGTACGGCTTTGCAAAGCCTTGCTTTCCACTCCAGAAATTGTTCAAATGTTAAAAATTTCAACAGCAGCAGATGTCGGAGTTGGGAAAATTTGAACTTTTTCTGCTCGAGGTGCCACGTCAACCAATCAGAGAAACTGATCTAGGAGCTGACAGGGAGACAGACACAGCATCGCTGATGCGGAGCGCTATGATCACTCCTCTGAAACAGTTTATCAGCGCCTAAATGAGCTTAAAATTTTGATACCTGCTGACAGTTCTGGGTGAACTGACTAAACAGACGATGCATAAAAATATATATTAAAACTAGTTTTTACTCACTCATCGCAGCAAACAGCAAAGCAGCTCTCTGCCAGTAAACACAGGAGCTGCAGAAGCATCGGACAACCATCTGGACGCGCTACAGGAACCTCACACATGCTTTTGAGGCACGTCCTTAATGCGGACAGGTATCAAAAATGAAACAGCAGACGCTTTTTTGATGCTCTAATCATGGTGTGAACATAGCATTACACTTTCTGATTGTTTGAATTAACCTATGAAACATAATATTCTACCTAAAAACGATCTCATGTCTTCCTTATAAAAATTTCCACCTCCAGTCAAGCATACGTTTCCCATAATCAGGAAAAAGTAGTGTTATAACAAAGACAAGAAGTTAGCTGCATTCCACCTCAAAATACAGGAAAAAGTCTAAATCAAGTCTAAAGTCAGTCTAAATTTCAAAATTTTCTAGGAGAGGAATCCCCCAGAAACCCTAATGCCTCGCGAAGTCTAAAGAAGTGATACACCAAGGAGTACACCCCATGAAATAGTCCTAGCTAAAAGCCTGCAAAGGAACAGTTGATTTGCTATAATTACCTTTAATTGCTAAGAAAATAAAAAAAAAGCTGCGTCTGATGTCAAACTCAATCACAGAAGAGGCTAAAACTTTAACCATGGACACACTCCCAGTAGGGTTGTCAAAAGTATCGATACTCAAAAAAGTATCGATACTGAAATGTTG